GATCCGCACCAACTTATCTATCAACACTGACAAAACATAGTACTACTCTTCCTCTTTAAAACATAAATGTTCTCGGTAAGAAAGCATCTTACTCTCACAAGTTCCACGTTGTTCGCCATAGCAGCAGTATGCAATGCTGTTCGCCCATGCTGAGCATCTTGCGCAGTTGGATCTGCCCCAGCCGCAAGCAATATTTGGACTAGCTCTCTACCTTCTGCAGCAGCACACATGCTAAGTAAACTGATATACATAACAAATAGAATAAAGACATAGCATGCAATAAATTCGAACTCGACACGACACAACTGTGAGAAATAACAGGAAAAAGTTCAAATAACATCCTTTACGAGTAACTCGTCTTTCAGATTTACTACATAAAAAAAAAAACTTCATACAGGTCAACACACAAAAGACCAGATATCCATAATACAAAAAAAAAGCACAGGACTCGAGTAGACTACACAAAGAAATCGTCATACTTCTATGAAGCAATTTACTTAACAAAAGATACTCTAAGTCATTACCCTTTTCATGATCTTTCCTTATAGCAGCAGCCATACATAGAGCAGTGCCAACTGGACTTGGGATGTTTATTGCCTGAGAAATTTCTTCTGGGCTGGAAACTTCCACCCATCGCTTGATAACAGCAACATTCCATGTTGTTACACACATATGTAACGGTCTGAAACAAACAAAAAAGTATATAGATCTAAAGCATAAACAACGGAAACGTAGGTTTACTAATGGAATACGTTTTCCTAAGAAAATAGCCATGAACCACTTTGAGTAGTATGGTGACAGCTACCTCATTATGGCTTATCCAAATAGGTGAACGTAATGGACATATTTTAGTAGGTACAATGCTACTAATTAAGTTCTAATGTAGATGCAGAGCATAAGAACTAAGAATAAAAGAAATAGAATTCGTTTCTGTAATCAGAACTGGCTTCTAGAAGGCCCCCGTAGTAACCTAGTCAGTGCCAGATCTTATGGAGTCGTATACGTAGCATATAAGAGTTCAGTTATGTACTTACGTCAGGCCCTTTCCGTTTGAAACGGCCATTGATCTAGATCCCCCATTTTCCAATATAACAATGGCACAATCTGTGTACTTCTTGGTAACAGCTCGATGAAGTACAGTTTCACCTTCATCATCCACTGCATTTGGATCAGCTCCAGCTACCAGCAACTCCTATTAATAATATCAATAAGCGGAGGGACATTAACTTTGGTCATAGATATAAGACTAGACTAAATTACAATATACTTCAGATCAGTGGAAGATTTGTGAACAAGTGGTGGAAGCTTTAAAGTGATAGATAACTCCTCAGGAGAAGACACTTACACGCATACAATCAGGTTGTCCATGATACGAACAAACATGAGCAACAGATGGACCTGATCCTTCCCGCAGTCTAGACCTTACATTAGCCCCTTTTTTAATGAGAACATGAACACATTGCGGAGATCCAGCTGCCAAAGCAAATACAAGAGGAGGATCTCCATCTTTGTCCACAATATCTACATTCGCCTCCCCATACTCCAATATAGCCTCCACAAGTTCGACACTGCCACGTCTGCAAGCTAAGTGAAGAGCAGATTGACCGTCAGCGTTTTGCGCCTCTAATAGATACCTCACAGAGCTTCCACCGCTTCCAATTGCAGCCTTTGCTAGTATATTTCTACTCACAAAACAAAATTCAAACCAATGTAGTTGAGAAATTGTTGTTTTATAGCTACACAAAACAAAAATAAGCTAAAAGTTACCTTACACCCTCAGAGTCCCCCTCCAGAACAACTCGATGTAGGTTGATAGGGCTATCTGGTACGACCCCCATGTTAGTGGGGCGAGTTTCTTCTACAACATTTACTCCACACACTTTGATAAACCCACTACATCATACACGATTTTTAAAACTGTTAGGCGAAATAATATAGGCATAATGACACAAACAATCTTAGGCACTGAGAAGTAATAAGAACAAAGTCAATATTTACAGGTAATCTTAGAGACTCAAAACTCTTACTTATCAGGGCTTGCTGAAGGGCTACGTGGTATCTCTTGTAAATGACGAAGAAACGTAGCAAGCATTGCATTAAAAGTAGGTCTTTTCGACGGTTTAAACTGAAGACATTCACCAATCATTTTCCATAATTCTCTAGGAATTCCCACACCCACAATGCGTTCATACTGTGGTGGTACTTTCCTTGCTTTCACAACAGCTTGAAAAATCTCTTCTCTACTAAGACCATCCCACCTGCAAAAATTCAATGATAGTTATACCACAATGACCGACACAAAACACAAGTGAATAATCTGCAGAAGGAAGAGGCTTTCACGTACGGAGTGGTGCCAGTGCACATCTCAACCAACGTACAACCAAAACTCCAGGCATCTGACTCCGGAGATACGCCACTAGCATCCTCCCAAAATAGTTTTTTCACTGGCCCCCAAGCCTCTGGTGCAGTGTAGTGTGGACTGAGTGTTACACAGTCCGTGTATGGAGTGATTTTCGAGGAATCAAACTGGCATGTTGGCTTCTTCAGGATGGGAGCGAGCCCATAATCAGAAACCACAGCGTTGCCACTTGCGTCCAATAAAAGATTAGAAGGTTTTATATTCATACATATAACACCTGCTGCATGAAGCTCTGCAACCCCTCGAGCAACATCCGCTCCATATCTACAATTGGTAAAAAAAAAAAATTCAATATCACAACAAGAGCAATGAAGTAATACATAGGTTGGTTACTGGAGGTAATTTTTAAGCTGAAAGATAAAGAAACGTAAGCACCATGAGAAGAGAATACAAAGATATTCACTTACTCATTTCTTATTTCATTTAGCAATAACAAAATGACAATATTCAATTAACAAAAGAATATATCAGTGTTCTAAAAATCGGTCTAGGCGCCTCCTAATCAGCAAATCAAAGGTAAACAAAACTACATTTAAAACCGTTTTTTGAAGAAATTGGTCTAGACTTTCAAATAATCTTAGCGATTTCTTGAACATTGTAAAATAGGAAGAAAGATAAACAAGTGAACTAAAGGTAACCTTGGAACCAAAAATATACTATGAACTCTCACTAATCTAACAAAGAGAGATGACAACTACATCAATTTTTCTCCTAATTTCAAGAAAGTCAAAGTTTTAAACACTAAACACATCCAAAACTAAAGCCTAAAAGACTTAAGTAGCCTGTTTCACTAGAATCTGAAAACCAGCGCACTTCCTATAGAACTTATAACAGTAATCACACAGCAAAAACACAAGTCTGGTTTAGTCTACTAATCTCCAATTAGGAAACACGCTATCAAAGTTTTGAAGCTGTATGCAAAAAAAACGAACCTTAGGATCTGCTCTAGAGTGAGCCTTCCTTCATTACGTTCCATCTCAGACTGAACAGAACCAAAACACCTATCCATCAAAAGACAAAGACACCCATCCATCTTCACAACCCCATGAAAAGTACAAACATTCCTACACCACATAGAAGCCTTCCTCAAACCCTCAAGCTGCCCTTGCATCCAATCCACATCCATATCCTCCATCAAACACATCTTCTTCACCGCCACACGGTGCTTACACCTCCCTCCACCTCCACTAACCGTCCCATCCCACATCTCAACACTCCCTTCTTCCCCAATCCTCTTCACTAGCTTCATCTCAGGGTGAGCTCCAACCTCAATCACAGGCCCACACGAACTACTACTACTCTTATCACGTGATGTAGAAGGATAACAACCACCATCTCCATCATCTTCTTCATCATCTTCATCATCTGAATCTGTGTAATCACAATCGAAGTTTCCACCGCTTATGAGAGCAAGCATAGCGAAGTTCTTTCTGAGCCCCTGGACGGAGTTTCCCACGACGGACACGTGGCGACACCGTGGACAAGTGAGGGAGGTGTCGGAGGAGGAGGAGGAGAACATCTTGGACAAGCAGTCTTTGCAGAAGCCGTGGCCGCATTGAAGCAAGAGAGGGACTCTTTCGTCTTCGTTGTACCGCGTGTGGCACACGGAACAGCAAGGGACTTTCATCTTCGACGCAACCATTTTCTAGAGAGCTTAGGAAAGAGAAAAAGCCCTAAAAAAAATAATTTGCGAGATCAGAGAGAGAGAGAGAGAGTAGAAGGAAGTGTGTTAAAATCTCAATCACTTGGGGGAGAAGAGAGAGAGAGTTAGTTCAGAACATAACGACAAGAAGAAGAAAAACAAAGGAAGAGATAATCTTAGGGAGGTTTCGATCTGGATCAAGAGGAAGAAGAGGAGAGCAGATCCATGGAGTAGGAGGAAAAAGGTAGATCAAACAATTGCTGAGAAACCAGACACGTTGATTGAGATGAGTAAGAGAGAAAGAAAAAAAAAATTATTGTAAGAAAATGTGAAAAAGGTTCTTCTTCAAGGTTTTATACTATTAGGATATTATTATTATTATGATGATTAATGCCCAACAAAATTTATTTATTTAATTACTGTGGGATGATTTTTTTCCTTTTTATTTTTACTGGTGAATATTATTAGTGTTGTTGGCTCGTCGGTTTAGGTTTGACGGGTTGGTTGGTGACTTTGGTGGTGGGCAGAACCCGTTTTTTGACTGTCCCAAAGAGTGTAATAATTGTTCAACCATCGGACTTTTTATAAGTTAACCAATCTTAACATGGTAATAAGCAAATATTAAACCCAACTTCTGAAAATTAAGATGTTTTGGGCTTATGATCTATGAAAATAATAATAATAAACTGGGCCTTGATTAAGAGTAAGAATGGGCTTTTCTAAACAATTAAATGGGTTTTAGTCAATGAGGTTTCAAACCTATGAATTAACTCCCAATTTGCTTATTAGTGATCAGGTCATGGCCTTGGACTAGCAGAATCAGGGGACACTGCTTGCATTCTCACCAAAGTAGAGAGAGTACAGTACCATGGGGTAGTGAAGAAGCCTCTGAAAGTAGTAGGAAGGGTGAAGGAGATTGTGTCTCTTTTCTTTTTTTTTAATTTACTGAAGGGAAAAAAACGTCTTGTAGAAAAAGGATTGACTAACAGAACTTGCAACTCCGTCTAGTTGCAGTTGACAGTCGTTTAGTCTTGACCGTCTGGTTGTCATACTATTCAATCTTCACCATCTAACTATTACCTAACCATTTCTTGAACATTCTCTCACAAACAAGATTCCATAATTTACTCTTGAGTTCATCATCAATTAAGAAAATACGTAAAAGGAAAGAAAAAGAAATAGGGAAACTCTTCATTTAGCAAAATATGTTGTATTGATTCGTTGTCCTTTCTATGGTTTGTGTCTTCTGGATGTGAGTTAGAGAGTGTCCCAGTTAGGGATATTTGCTGTAGCTTCATTCACCATCTTCACTAGAGTCACCTGCATCATCACCACCAGAAACACAACACAAATGCATTTAGGCAAGTAATTCAAAGCTTGACTTGTGTATATATCATTATTGGGAGTTGACAGACGACAACAGACTTAGGATAAATATCTACGTATGATGTTACTATAGTTCCACTTATGAGCTATAGATGAACCTTACAACAGTATCTCGTTCTATATAGGATTAGATCAAGAGGTGAATATATATAACATACCACACTTTCTGGAACACCGGGAGGCGGCATGGAAATGTTTCTTGGAGGAGGACCTCGCAGATGTGATCTCTTATCGAATCGCCACTCTCCTATTTTGCCATATGTCAGCTCACCCTATATATAACAGTCAGTAAACTACTTCTATTAGAATACATAGGAAGCTGATACAAAAGTAATACTATCATGGAGTTCCGATGGCCATCACCGAAACATCTCTACTTTAAGTACCTTGTATAAGGTTATGACAAAACTTATTAGTTTCAAGAGCGTCTAATAAGAAATGTAAAGGTGTAAAATTGTGTTCTCTAGTCTATCTGCCAGGAATAAAATTTAAACAATCGTCTCAGAATCACCTTCATGTTGTAGTCGCATCCATAAGTGTAATGGATGATATACTTTCCCTTGGTAGACAGATCCCATGGTGGCTGAAAGATATGATGAGAGCACTTATGAACACGGAGCAAAGAATATTATCACAGCAATCAGTAAAAGGTGGAATCATACCTGGAGCATGAAATCCTTATGAAGTATGTGCCGCACCCCATGCAGAGCAGAGGCAATTGCGTAACCGTACCTTATCAAACAGAAAAGAGAAGAGGCAAGCTATCTCAGTAAACAACAATGGGATACAAAAGGCGAGGAGTCAATTTATGAATAGAGATTTCTGTTTTCAGTGCTAACATTTCCAGAACCCATCCAAATGCCTTATCAGTATCTGGATCGTTTTTCATTGTTAGCGAGACATTCATCCATGTAGGAGCAATCTTCTCAAGTGATTCCTGCATAAGAAAGTAACTACATGTCAACACCAATTATTAACGCAATAAAATAAGAAACAGAGGTAACAAACATCACATCTAGATTAAAGCCTCTCTATAAATATTTGTGGTTAAAGTCATATGTGTGAGATCTTATAACCAACATAAATCATTATAACACAGGTTTGACAAATCTCACCTTGCTTATGATAACAGGAGAATTCCCAATGGGGTCAATATTTGAAACCGGGCCCATCTCCACAGGATAATACTTTCTGACAATGTTCTCAAACTTTTCAGGTGTAATATAGAAAAACGGAAAAGCAGCTGGGTATCCTCCAACAGCCAAATTGGGAAGAGGGTTAACAAATACATGATCAGGCTCTGCCATCAGCACATAGCTGCACCAACATCAATAAGCAAAAGATTATAGCAAAACAGTAAAACAAAAAGTCTGTTAGTAGAAAATGAGTCAGAACTTACTCTTCCTTGATAGTAGCTCTTTCAAGCCATTGCACAAACGCCCACGGTCTATTCAACACAACATACCCCTAAAAACAAAATAGTTAGCACAAAAAAAAACTCATCCCAAAGGAAAACAAGATTCTTTCTCACCCTATCAAGACCTGGAGGAAGAGGATCAACAACAAAAGTCGGAATCTCATCCATCAAATTATCACGATTACCCGAATGCAAAATACGAGTAAACCCTCCCATATCAGAACCAGGAAGAGCTTTCTTCTGCTTATACCAATAATACATGATCCTACACTGCCACTTGTTATAAGGAGCATCCGTAGCCGTCAAGGCAACATGAAAAGGTGCTGGTGTAGAAGTCTTGACCTTTCTGTTAGGCATCTGAACAACAGGATCCAACAGTGGACTACTCACACCAGATCTATTGTGGACTATAAGGGACATAAGATTATACGTGACAACAAAGAAACCGAAACCTAACAGAAACAGAAGCAAAGACGATGCTTTCCCCATTGTTGTTGTTTTTATATTTCTATGGATCAAAACTAAAAAAAATTAAAAATACAAAAGAGTAGTGTGGCGCAGATATTTTGGTGGACCCCTCCTCCTCCTCCACTCACAAACTCATTCCTGCATTTACAGTGAAAGGAATATTAATGTGAAATTCGTTTTGAAGCAAAGGTTAATTGAGTAGCATGAAACAATTAATTAAACATATATTTTTTCTTAATCAATTTTGGGGACTCGCTATGGATCTAACCATCAAAAACTATTTAGATAATAATCAATCAGGGAAGAGAGTATACAAAACGAAATCGGTATTGATTTGACCTAATTAATTTTCTAACTGAAGACAATCATCAATTATCATTAATTATTAACTATAAGATCTGAAGGAGGAGAAACCCTAGAGAAGAGAATTTGGGAGAAAGAGCTTGGGAGCTTACGGATTCGAAAGTCGCCGGAGAAGAGAGAAAGATGAGAGATCGGAGGTGTGAGATTAATGTGAAGCGGAGTTGACTAACGGAGCCATCATTAACGATTTATTCTAAGTTTTGACACTGACTACGCGTCTACCAAATGGTGTTAGGATCGTGCCAATGAAAAACAAAAGGGGGAATAAACAAAAAAACTATTATTGTTAAGAGGAAGTGCAGTGTTTGTGGAGGCACGTATTTGGGAGAGAAAAAAAACTTTGAACATTAATGAAAATTATGAACAATTAGTGAGAGAAAATATTTACCGTGGTTAACTGTCCAAGGAGGAGTTATTACCAGATGGACACAATATGGTTTAAATACAGCGTGTGATTTGGTTTGATATGTGTTTTGTCTGTGTTCACGTCTCAATTTGCTTTTGGAAACGTGCTCCTCGCCATTATGCCCGTCCTATCAGTATCTGACTGTAGCTTTCAGCTGACGCTATTCTTTGAAAAGTATACGTTACAAACTCTTCTTTCATCTACTTCTGGCATATTTTTCTCTAAGATTAACACGTAATCAAAGAGTAATGAACTAAGCGACGAATCTACTAATTGCAGGTTCAAATTTATACAGCAACCAATAAAACTAAGGTAAAAATAGTCTCACATGACGTGACCTAGTTGCTCAGGAAATAAATTTCCAAATCACCCACGAGATCTATACTACATGTTCTAAGCTATAAAGAGATCCTGAAAATATTACAAAGTAGTCAAACATAAACAAACAAAAATTCATAACTGTAAATTAGTTCAAAGGAGACGATCTCCCCGCACATACAAAACTTATTCAGTAAGAGAAAAAACTTGTCGAAATGATAAACAAAAAAAGCCTCTCTAGTTTTATGGCAAAAGGTTTCATCAACATCGTGACCTTTTTAAAAAGTCTGAAACTGAAAAATAAATCGAGATAAAAAAAAAATAAAGCCAAAGTTTTATGAGTGGTGGCGACTGGTGATTAGCATTACTTAACCAGATCCAGATCCGTACTTCTTTCCGAGAAGAAGTAACTGAAGCTTGTCGTATCCAGAGAGCACACCAGCACCTGCAATGGCACGAAGGATGTTGGCACCAGCACCCTTGAAGAGTGACTTGGGTCCTTCCTTCTTGAGAATCTGTTGGAAGGCATCCATGGAGCTCTTGTACTTCACGGCTTCACCTGACGTCATCATCATTCTTCTACGGACAGTGTCAATGGGGTAGGATGCAAGACCAGCACCGTTGGTGATGAGCCATCCAAGGGCAAAACTAGCGAAGAAGCTGTCCTGAAATTGCCAAGAAAGGAAAGACGGAAAACAACATTAGAAACAAATAAGGCAATGAAGTATTGGGTTTCTAATTGTTAATTGATGGATCAAATAAACAAACCTGGAGATCTGCAGGGAGAAGAGGCTTCAAAGAGTCGTAGAGACCAAAGTAGAGACCACGGTAGACAATGATACCAACACAGGAGATGTTGAATCCACGGTAGAGTCCAGCAATACCATCAGACTTGAGAGTCTTCTTGTAGACATCGACAAGACCATTGAATTGCCTTTCACCTCCCTTCTTGGCTGCCTTTGAGTCATTGGCAAGACGGGTACGTGCGTAATCCAGAGAATACACAAAGAGAAGGGAAGAAGCACCAGCAGCACCACCAGATCCCAAGTTACCAGCAAACCACTTCCAGTAACCATCCCTGTCTTTCTTGAAGTTGAAAAGCCTCTTGAAGTAATCTTTGAACGCAAAGTTCAAGGCCTATAAAAGTGAGAGATATATAAGAAATCAATACTCAAGTAACAAAATTTATTAGAAGCAAGGATGTGAAACTTTAACCAACCTGAGTAGGGAAGTAACGGATAACGTTAGCAGTGTTTCCTCTCCACAAAGAACCAAAACCCTCATCCTTAATAGTCCTGCCGAAACAGTCACCAATACCCTTGTAAGGCTCAGAAAGCCTACCAGCCTTAAGCATCTCATCCTGGTTCTGAATCAAAAGCTTAACACGCTCAATAGGAGCAGCAGCAGTCTTGGACACAGCAGCGGAAACACCACCCATCAAGAAGTCAATAGCAAAGCTAGAGAATCCTTTCTCTCCTGGAGCCTGGACAAACACAGGAGAAGTAGTTGCAACAATCCTGGATGTGCCGGCAAGAGGGTATTGGAACGCAGCATTGGAGTAGTTTCCGTATGCCGCACGCCTTTGGTATGTAGCAGGGCTCTGGAAAGCTGAAGAGTAACCGTGAATGTCCTGAGAAACACCCGAACGCATGATTTGGCCAGATGCCTTATGGAAAATCGTGGGGTTCTGAGTCTGTTCAACCATTTTGACCTCTGCAAGAGAAAAATAATAAGATTTAAAACAATCGATGTGACACACAAAAAATGATACAAACTGTAAATAAACTTAAAACAAATGATGTGACACACAAAAGAAAGATTTTCGTCGAAAATGTGATTAGTAATCTATTGCTATAACAAAATAAGATTTAAAACAATCGATGTGACACACAAAAAATGATACAAACTGTTAATAAACTTAAAACAAATGATGTGACACACAAAAGAAAGTTTTTAGTCGAAAATGTGATTAGTAATCTATTGCTATATCAAAATAAGATTTAAAACAAACGATGTGACACACAAAAAATGATACAAACTGTTAATAAACATAAGACAAACAACATTTAAAACAAATGATGTGACACACACACAAAAGAAACAAAGTTTTTCGTCGAAAATGTGATTAGAGATCCATTGCTATAATCAAAATGTTATTTAATCATATGGTAAAGTATCATAATGAATCAAATACGACTTTCACTAACAGTCAATTATCAGTTACGAGGTCCGCGTAACAGATCCATACACGAGTAACAATATCGCATAAAATGTAAGCAACGGAGACGAATCATTTCTAGATCTAAACAACAAGCAGATCAGAGAATCATAATTCAGATCTATCCACACCCTACCTACCGATCTAGATTCAATTCAATCGGAAAATAAGCAGATAAACCATCAGATCTTCATCATTTTACCTTGTTGATGATATATAATGAAACACAGATCGATAAAGTCAGATGTAACAAAACGGGAGAAACAAACGAGATATAAAGCGGAGCAGAGATCTAAACTTACCAAACGGAAAGCGATGGCAAAGAGAGACTCAAGGGAACGAGATTCTTCGCCCTTTATTGTAGGAGCTGAGCGAAGATGAGCGAGAGACTTTTCGATGGTGGCGAAGAGGAGCCTTTTATTGGGTGGAGAAATAGGGCCGCAAGTAGTGTGATTAGAAATGATCTGGTGTTACGCGGTTAGAAACTGTTGGGTCCGTTAGATCGTCGAGATTACTTTAGATGGATTTTATGCCGTTGATTATGATCACTAAAGGAAATATTCTGTTTTGACTATTTTACTGGCCCTAGATCTTGGTTGATTTCGTTTCATGTTGGGCTTTAATGTTACGATGCTTTGGTGTTATGGGCTCTCGTTTACCCATACTTTTAGACTTGCATGATATTTTTGTTTTGGGGACCGTGCCCGCGTTTGTCTTGATCAAGATAATGCGATAGCGATCCTACTGAGGAGTGAAACTATATGTCATCGTGTATTGGAAGAAACATGGGTTATCGCTCATCATAAAGTTTTATCGAAACTATAGGACTTAGAAAATGGCTAGATTTTCAGATTCCAAAAGCCTTTTATAACCATGATCATAGGAGACTCTTCTGTGGAATGTGGTTGTTCTCCAAAGGATCCTCCACAATGAGGGTCGATCATGACCAAAACAGATGAGATTTTGGCCTCTGTTGAAACATGTCTTAAATCTACGATCTTACGAATCGATCGATGCAGGTGTCATGGATCGGTCGATCTGACACACAAATCGGTCGATTCAGAAGTTGTGAATCGATCGATGGTGTTAAATCCAAAAATATGGAAAGTTTCATTTTATCGAACTATAAGCTTACGTGTGAGCATAGACTATGAGATATGTATTTGATTGTATAGATAATAGAATATGGTTGGTACGTGTATGTGAAAATTACTTTCTTCACTAAATGTTCTTACTCGCATCTTCTCCGCTGATAAAAGAAAAAAATGTAACGGTTTAACCAAAGAACCGGATTATTAAGAACCCAGATAAAACCAACCGGCGAACCGATCGATACTTTCTTCACAGCTCGAGGAGTCGAGGGTTTGGCTTGCCGAGAAGAACCAAACCCTAACCTTTTCGCCCGCTTCTCATCTGCTCACCCCCGACGAGATCCACACTTCGTTAACCGTTCGGATACTCTCCGTGTGCAAATAATGTACGGAGATTCGATGCAGCAGCTCCCACCGATGCAGAATCAACACCATGTACCCGCCGGAGGTCCACCGATGCATCCACCACCGATGATGCGTCATCCCTCAGCCTCTTCAACCAATATCAATTCCGATTACCACCATTCCCCAAATCCCTTCGACTGTAAGTAGTTTCTGTTTCAAAACGACTCGTTTTTTTTGTTTTCAATTGAGATCTGATCTCTCTTTGTGTGATGATGATGTGGCAGCAGCGCATGTTGATAGTTTCGGTGCGAAACGAATGAGAAAGCATACACAGAGAAAGGCTGTTGATTACACAAGCACCGTTGTTAAATATGTTCAGGTTAATGTGTTAGTGTTACTCATAGCCACTTCGTAGTCATTTATTTTATTTATGTGGAAAGTGGATATAAAAGTAGGGAGTGAATTTTACTTAATTTATGTTTTTGGTTTCAGGCTCGAACGTGGCAGAGAGACTCAAGGGATATGACCAGTTTGCAACCAACGCCAGCTGCTGCTGTTGATGTTGGATTTCTTTTTTATTTTTCTACATAGTTTCTTGATCTTGGGATCAATTTTTTCAGTATTTGAATCTTTTTTGGTATGTGAATGTCTCAGATGCTACCTCCAGTTGCCTATTCAGATAATCCTTCTACAAGCTTTGCTGCAAAGTTTGTTCACTCGTCTCTAAACAAGAACCGTTGTTCAATCAACTGTGTTTTGGTATATCCCTTGAATTGTATTATACTTTGTTTGCCATGTTTACCTGTTGAAGAAAGAAACATTATTGTTTTCTTTTTCTTAACTTTATGGCAGCTTATTGTGATAATTTCTGATTGGTTTTGTTGTATATGTAGTGGACACCTTCAGGAAGACGTCTTATCACTGGCTCCCAAAGTGGGGAGTTTACTCTTTGGAATGGGCAATCTTTCAATTTTGAGATGATTCTTCAGGTTCAGTTTTCAGATTGTTTATACTTATCTTTTGGGGACACCTGTTTTTTTTTCCTCTATAGTTGTTGACTATACTTATGTTGTCAATATTAGGCACATGATCAACCTATAAGGTCAATGGTATGGAGCCACAATGACATTTGGATGGTTTCTGGTGATGATGGAGGCACATTAAAGTATGTTTTCTCTTTCAACCCCTAATTTATGCCATGTAAAATGAGAAGCTCAAAATTCTATGATTCAGATTTAGTTTTTGCTGTGATAATGAGGATCATTTGCTTCTTATTCAACAGGTATTGGCAGAGCAATATGAACAATGTGAAAGCCAATAGAACTGCTCACAAGGAATCCATTCGTGATTTAAGGTAAAAAAAGGTTCGGTTATCTTTAATTGCATTGAATGAATATCTTCAAAAAAATTAACATTATGTATCAAACAGTTTCTGTAAAACAGATTTGAAGTTCTGTTCGTGTTCTGATGATACAACTGTTAAAGTTTGGGATTTTACCAAGTGCCAAGAAGAAATTACATTAACCGGTAATGTGATTTGAACATATTGGCTGCAGTTAGCGAACTTCTTAGTCGATTGCTCCATTGTTACTGATTTAGAATCCAGTGTAGATGTAATTTAGCTCTGTGTTATTAGAACTGGACCCTCAGGCTTCACAGAAAAATGTGATATTGAGATTTGCTTTAGTTTCGCCATGTAAAACTCGTGTTCGAGATATGTTTTATATCCTAGGCGTAATGTTATTTTTTTTTTAATCTGTATGATATCTGAGAATTGTTGAAGTGTGACCAAGGGGTTCTTTATATTTTGAACTCAGGCAGGCCATGGCTGGGATGTCAAGTGCGTCGACTGGCACCCCACAAAATCCCTACTAGTTTCTGGTACATCATTTATAGACTCTGGTTTCGAATAATGCCGTAATTATGGATACAGTTGTATACTTCCGACCTTCTCTCGTTGGCGTATCAATAAGTTAATGACGGGTTTAATTTGTATATTCAGGTGGAAAAGATCAACTTGTTAAAATCTGGGATGCAAGAACTGCGAGAGAGCTTTGCTCTCTGTAAGTGATACAAAACATATTTTATATCCTATTAATAATCTCAGGGTCAAAGCTTTAACGAATTTGATCGCTATTCTCACTTTTGCAGTCATGGTCACAAAAACATGGTACTTAGTGTGAAGTGGAACCAAAATGGCAATTGGCTTTTGACAGCCTCGAAAGATCAAATAATTAAGGTGAGCTCATTTTCTTTGGGTGTGTCGATTTGTAAACAAGATATTTTCCTTGCATTTTGTGGAAGCATTTGTATGACACCTGCGCATGTAATCTGCAGCTGTATGATATAAGGACTATGAAGGAGCTTGAATCTTTTCGTGGTCACAAGAAAGATGTAACATGTAAGTTGTCAAGTTTTGTAATGATGATGTCTTCAAACGCTTGAAAGCAGACACACTTTTTTTCTGTACATTGCCTAGGACTCTTAAGTGTATATCCCGTCAAAATATTATCATCGTGCCCATCCTTTTGTTAATAACCCATGACGGTTCTCAATTGTTTTTCCGACATTTCTTGATTACAACTATTTCTTATCAAAAGTTGTCCAATTCTTTTAAAGCTTTGGCGTGGCATCCAACCCATGAAGAATACTTTGTGAGTGGGAGCGTTGACGGATCCATTTGTCACTGGATTGTGGGGTAGGTACTGTTTTGACGCAATGTGTTGTTATATTTATCCGTTCATGCTGCGGTTGCTTAATCATTTATAAGGATTTGTCAAATGATGTTTCTAGTCTACATTTTATATCTAGTCATGACGCATCTGCATGTAGAAGGATCTTTATCTACCTAATAATTGGTTTGTTTGAGATGTGTTTAATTATGAAACTATTTTTAATTTTAACTATTCTTTATTTTCAGGAATGAAGACCCGCAGGTTGAAATCTCTAATGCTCATGATAACAGTGTTTGGGATCTTGCATGGCATCCTATTGGATATCTTCTTTGCAGGTAGTATAATAATCTAATGCCAGAGTTCTTTGATAGGTTTATTTTATGATGTTCTGTTGTTAGCACCGGATTATTGATCTTTCCCCTAATCTGTGCAGCGGTAGCAATGATCACACAACCAAGTTTTGGTGCAGAAACAGGCCTGGAGATAATCCCCGAGATGCCCTTACTATGCAGAACCAAGGTTTTTATGTGCTATCGATATATAATTTTTTAGTAGGCATCGTGATGGAAAGTGTATGGGTGGTGTATAAATATTGTACCTATGAGTACCTCAGTAAATAGTAAGGATGTTGTGATAGGCTTAACTGGTCGGGCTCGTACTCTCAATGTGTATTATCGCCAGAAAATAGTGTTTTATTTTTTTATTTATTTATGAACTGAAGTTTGTAGCTTGTAGTTTGTGTGTACTAATTAGTGCAATTTGTGTCAGGCTATAATGAACAAGGTTATGGGAATCGCATGCCTGATAATTTCCAACCATCTGAGGTATCGCCAACTCCTGGAGCATTTGTTCCTGGGCTGACAAGGAATGAGGGGACCATCCCGGGTATCGGAATAGCGATGCCATTTGATGCATCCTCTCAAGGGGAACATAAACAGCTTCTTCCAGGTGTCATGGCTCCTCCGCTGCCACCTGGTCCACATCCATCCCTTATGGGAAGTAGCCAGCAGCAAGGTTATCAGCAACAACAACAACACCACCAAGGTCATCCCCAGCAAATCCCTCCATTGCCCAATATGCCTCATCTTCAACGACCACCATCGTCTCATATGCCATTGCATCCTCATTCTCATCATCCCCGGCCTATGCCAATGCCTCCTCACGGTCACATGCCACCTTCCTCAATGCCTATGTCTCATCAGATTCCCGGACCAATGGTATAGCTCTCAGATCTCTTGTAAATCGACCACTACTTAAGCCTTTGGATCCTTCTTTTTGTTTGAATGACATTAGGATTCTCATACTATTCTACTGAAAGAGAAACTAATATTGTCACTTGTTGTTGAATCAGGGAATGCAAGGGGGCATGAATCCACAGATGTCGCAAGGCCATTATATGGCTCCTCCTTCTGGAGCATTTCAAGGACCACCAAGCACTGGTGGACCAATATATCCCCAAGGACGTGGTTTCAACCGTCCACAGATGATGCCAGGGTACAACAACCCTTTCCAACAGGTCTCTCTAAACACCCTTCTACTGTTATCGAGTATTCTCGTTACAGTTTCACATAAATGTACACGTATAGATAGGCTCGATTAGAACTTACTGGCTAATAATTTCTATGGTACGATGAGATGTTGCAAAGTTAGAGCTGAATGAAAATTCTTCGACTAATCCCTTCTTTAAAATTTTTGCTTTGTGAAACAGCCTCAGCCGCCTTTACCTGGAGGCCCTCCACCGAACAGCAATCAACAACATCAGTAGACCACCGTTGTAAACAGAGTACATATTCTGTTTGTAGACCAATTCTTACAAGGAGTTGGTTCTAAGATTAGTAAACGCTGTGATATGGTTTTGCTGTTTATGTTTTGATGCTTTTTAGCTGAACAAGTTACTCTAAGGAATCTTTAGTGACTTCACATGTTAAGTACTCCAGATTGGTTTTCGTTTAAGGAAAACTTCTTTATTGAATAGTTATTTTTTTTTCTTTTTCTACATAAGGATTGATTGTCTTGTACAATACTCCCCTTGTTTACATTGTCCTTGTGCAATTTAACAAATGAAATTGACTGAAACAGTTTAAACAACAACAAAAAAGAGGAAACGAAAGAAGATTTGATGATACACATTCGAGTGTGACCATCCCAACAAAGAAACATTGGAACGTATGTAAGTATATACAGGGCTTAGAATCTCACACTCATCATCTCATGCTGCTCTGCTTGCTCCAGCTAGGTAGAGATCGTTCCGAGTTTATGCTGAGATCGTTCAGTAGAGTACCATTATTGCATGATTTCAAAGGGCCTATGTTAAACCCCCTTAACCCTGGAGAACGTTGCTGGTACGCACTTGCCCTACTGTTATTGCTATTCCCAACTCTCACTTTGCTTGGTGCTTCACTCATCACCGAACTAGTCAAGCATAGCTTATTCTTATACGGTGAGTAACTCTCTGACTGTGTATCGAAACTTCTCGGTCTTATCCTTGGTGAGCTCAATGATCTTGACTTTGCCTTAGCTGACTCTGTTGCAACCATGTAAGTTGGTGTAGTCACAGTGACAGCAGCCACAGAGTTTTGTGGTTCCTCTTCACTTATTGAAGCTTGTCTTCTATGATTATTACTCAATCTTCTTGGTGAAGAGTTTCTTGGAGTTTTATTCAGAGTATCTTCTTTAAGTTTTAGTCTTGAAGACAAGTCAAGATCTTCTAGCTCCTTGCTCTTGGTTCGTTGAGTATCTACCCATTCATCTAACCAGTACTTCCACTTCGTGTTACTCCGTTTCTGATATGACTCAGCTGATTTCTGATGAAAGAAAGTTTTCAACTCATTATGAAAACTTGCAATGCAATCAAAAACCAAAAAAGTTGTATAGATATAGAATAATACCCGGTGAGTGACTGCATATTCTTTGATCCTTTCTCTTCTTAACGCAGCTTCTCTCTTACTCATTACCACAGCTCTTGCCTCTTCCTTTGTTAATAGACTATCGTCCCATCTCTTCTGACCATTTGTGTCCACCTGAAAACATCATTATCTCTTAACTACTAGTACACAGTACTGGCGCTGCACCCTTCTTAATATCAGATTTTACTTACCTTGAGTGTGTTCTCGGTGAACATGTGGAATGTATTGCTCTCTTCGTTATCTCTGTGAGACGCTCTGGGAGGAATCTGTGATCTCTTACCGTAGACCTGTGACTGAATGTTCACAACGGATTGTAAGCATTTTAGTGTAGTCATTGCTTGGCGTCTCACTGCACGACCTCTTATATATGCTTGCAGCTTCACTATTCCCTTCAACGCACGTAGAGCTTTCCTTGCCTGATGATAATGAAGTTTTCAAAACCATTATGAACAAACCAGAAACCAAAAAAAAGGAAAGAAAATTGGCTTAAACATTCACAAAACTACATAGTAACATATTAGAGCTCTACTTAATCTACTCAACTCTAGTTCCTAAGAAGTCAACACAATAACATCAACTCCAATACTAGACTAACACAAGGGTTCCATGAAAAAAAAAAGTTCCATAAAGGGAAGAGAATCTTACAAGATGACCACGAAAAGCTGTCTGAATCCGAGTAGCAGCAAGAACTTCTTCCTCTCTATTTAGGAACAGTTGATACTGAGCTACCAGATGAGCAGTTTCTGGTGATGTTGAACCTTCTAACTTCTCTATAGAATCAAACTTTTGACTAGAAGATACTTGGCTGACTTCACCAACATCTGAGACGCTTTCCTCCTTCTGTTCCTCATGAGATTCGTTTCTTGTCCCGTTCTCAGGAGGTGGTGCAGTAATGGAAGGTAATCTTTTTCTTACTTTAAGCTTCCAAAATGTCCATCTTCTTCTCTTCTCTTTCTGCAATAAATAAATACATTAAACAAGAACATCTAAACTCTAACCACCAGAAGAATGAGATCTTCTTTTACCTTTTCTGAGTTAGGTTCTGAAATAAAAACCCTTTTAAGTAGAGTGAATAATCCCTTTTTATTTGTCATTGTTGCACAACAACCATCACCTTGATATATAGCTCTGAAAATATAATCATCCAAATCTAAACTAATTATTCAGAATAAAAGAGGCAAATCTGAATCATACTCCAGATCAATACTCTAGAATAGTTTGATTCTAGGAAAAATTTAAAAACAGCAAATCTTTCATGAAAAAGAACTGATAAAGATCTACCTAGAAACTTAAAGTCTTGTCTCCAAGATTTGAAACAAAGCATTTAAGAAAAAAAAAAAAAACTTACTTGGTGAATGGTGGTATCAAAAAGTTAGGGCCTAAAATGAAATTGCAGAAAAATCAACAGAATACAGATTCAGACAGCGAAGATAGATGACTGTTGATCACAAAATGATGTAATATGAACAGACAAGAGAGAAGGTTGTTCTCATTCTCCACTGTGCCGACAAGGTAACGTGACACTTCATTTTTTTCACTCGAAATTATTGTTTTACCCCTCCCACTTCCTCCCATACCTCCTCCTCCTAATCTTTGTTCCCCATCATTTATTAAAAAAGTTGAAAAAACTGTTTTTTTTTTTTTGAGATCTGCTGCATCGCTATCAATTTGTCATTAACTGTCAATCACAAGTTCTATATAAATATCCTCTGACAGTTACTGACTCAGACACAACTGCTTTACATAGATGTTAAAATGAGATAAGTGACCAACCAAGAATAGCTAAGCATATTAAGTGAAAACAAAATGAAGACCATCATGTTTCTCTTAACAACTAATCCTGCTTTGTTGTTGTCTTCAAAAACTTGTATACTAAGTCAAATTTGAAGACTTGTTTTGTGATAATAATTAGGTGCATATGATGGTGAAACGTAATAAAATGGTCAAATGAAACTGACAACACACTGCATGTTTGTTCACATGGCTAGCAAACAAATGATCCAACTGTTATCGCTCTCAATAGACTTTATTCACCACAAATGTGACCGCATCTTTCTATAAATATTTATATCTATTTTTCTTGTAGTATACACAAAATTAAATACAATTTTATGTAAAGCACTGACCAGTTAGAATGTAAAAAAAAAAAGAATGAGTAAAATCAAAGAATTCTTCACTGTTTTGTTATGTTCGTAAATAACGGGCCCAATAAAACAAACGTGAGTAAAAGCCCATTAAAGCCTAATAAAACAAGCGTGAGTAAACCTAGTAAGGCCCAATAAGAAACCGAGAAGCCTCTTAAGCCCAAATTCATTAAGTTACCTTCCCCCTCTGACCAGTCTTCTTCTCTAAACTGACTTTTACCATTTGCTAGGGTTCGAATCAGATAACTGCAACAAAAATGGCTTTGGCTGGTCGTATCAGATCCGGAATCTCCTTCTTCAAGAACATCTCCGTCTCTGATTCCGTCTCTTCTGCTAGATCTCACTCCCGTGGAGCGCCCCTTATCCCCTCGGTAAATCGCATTCTTAGAAAACGAATCTTAAGTCAAATTTATTATTATTATTATTACGAATCGGTTCTTACAAAACAGGAGAGGATTGAATCTTCGTAGTTTTACGTTTCTATTGTTTGGATTTGATTTTTTTAATAAACTCCTGATTGTATTTGTTATAAATTAATCTGTTATTTTGATTTTTTTGTATGGCAGTTGAGAGATTATGCAACAGCTTCTGCTCAGAAAACAGGCAATGTGAAGGTAAAGCGTGATTACTTCTCTCTGTATATATCAAAGTATTTCGCTGGCCACTAGGGTTAAAATTTAAAATTGTCCAGTGACCGAACTTAGGCTGATACGGACACTCACCCTAGTGCTAGCCACTAGAGTTAAAATTTAAAATTGTCTAGTGACCGAACGTAGGCTGATACGGACATTCGCGCTAGTCTAGATCCACCTTGGTAGGTGTCAGGATACACCGGTTTATCAAAAAAACAAAGTATTTTATGTAATTAAAATTGGTGGATTATGCATTGATGTTACTATCCTTGTAAGTGTTATCTGGATTTATACAATTAAGTAATGTTGTTGTTGCTGTTCAGGTTCCTGTGGCTTTAGTTGGTGAAAATGGGAACTTTGCTTCGTGGCTATACATTGCAGCTGTGAAAATGAATTCCTTGGAGAAGATTGAGTCTGATCTTTCTGAATTGGTTGAGGCTATGAAGACAAGCCCTACTTTTTCACAGTTTACTAAAGATCCCTCTGTTCCTAGAGAGACAAGACTCGCTGCTATTGTTGATGTTTGTGATAAAGCCAAGTTTGCTGAACCCACCAAGAACTTCCTATGTATGTCAACTCAGTGCCTTGTTTATGATTTTTGGTTAACCATGTTGGTGTGATTGATTTGTTTGTGTTTTTTTCTATAACAGCTTTGTTAGCTGAGAACGGGAAGCTGAAGAATTTAGACGTGATTGTGAAAAAGTTTATGCAGCTGACAACAGCACATAGAGGAGACGTCAAGGTTTTGGTTACCACAGTTATGGTAAGCTAGAGTTTCTTATACTGTTCGTCTATTAAAGAATTATATTACTTAGCATTGTGGATTCTAAACAGAGAAATGTTTTGGACCAAACAGCCGCTTCCCCCTGCTGAGGAGAAGGAGTTGAAGGAGACACTCCAGGAGATAATCGGAGAAGGGAAGAAAGTAACTGTGGAGCAAAAGGTATATGTAATCACTATCGAATGCTTGTGATTATGAAGCCAAAATCTAAACCATGGATGTATGTATTTGCAGATTGATCCAAGTATCTATGGAGGGCTAATAGTAGAGTTTCAACAAAAGGTGTTGGACATGTCTATCAGGACTAGGGCACAGCAGATGGAGAGGCTCCTCCGTGAACCTGTTGACCTCAACAACCTTTGAAGATTTTTTTCCCTCAAGAAACGTGTTTGTGACGATGATGATTCTACCACCAGTTGACAAATAAATATGACACTCTCCTGAGGAACAACATACAAACACTCGTGTCGTTTTTGAAATTTGTTTTACAATTGTTGTTTTGCTTCTAAAATAAGCTTTTGAAGACGGTCAAATTTCAGTGATATTTTGGCTTTACATTTGAGAGAATAAATGGGCAATTTGGTAAAACGATGAGTCACGAGGACTCAAAGGTGAGAGAGCCACGAAAACAAAACACAAGTGCATAAAGTTGCCACGAAGCATATTGTAATGAGAGACTCTTGTAATAAAACTATCTCGGGTTAATAGTAGTTAAAAACCAAATTGATTGACGTTTTCTCGAACAAAGAACTAATCTTTTTTTGTTTGCATCAGCCATCATCATCCCTAACCTTAGAGAATTGAGCGAAGATGCTACGAGTTGTAGGGAGGAGGCTTTTGTCTGTTCAGCAGAGATCATCATCGACTGCGACATCCGTCGTCCTTGCCAGAGATTATACCATCTCCAATGGAGGAGGTGGCTCATCTTCCACCACCAGATCTGTTCCCTCTGCAGATCTTTCATCTTTCAATTCTTACCACCGGAGCCTTATAAGAGGTCTTTCTCTTTCTCTGGATTGATTACATTTTTTTCATTTCAGGTGTTGATTGAAAGAGTTTCTTAAAAATCTTTTTATTTTATTTTTTGACTGTATGAATGAATTCCAAGATTGATTTAGATTATAGTTATTGTATCTACGCGTTGATCCATGTGTTACTGTTTGGACTTTCACCACCTTGCTGGAATAAAAGTTATTTCCTTTGTGAAGGAAATGGACATTTGAGTTTATTTATCAGATATGAATTGACTTGTTTTGAGATAATCCTTTGTTTGATGTGAAAAAGTTTCTCTATTTATAAAAGTCTGATTTTTATGTATTTCGTCAGTATTAGGAAGATGGATGTTTATTCCGTCTGTTGGCACATCATGTTAAACTATGTTCTTGGTTTGAAGGAGATTTAACAGCTGAAAGACATTCTCAGGAACTTGCATCAGTAAAAGAATCTTGGATATAGTTTTTTTTTAACCAAAAGAGCTTGTGTATATATCCCAGACTATGTGATGCATATCATCTATTCATTGAATTTGTTTTCTTGACTAGAGTAGATGGGAGGATTCTTATACGTTTTTTTGTGTTTACTTATGTTTTCTCATTTTGGAAGTGTATGCGTTAATGTCATAGTTGAACATTTTATTGCTTAAATTGTGTAGAACACTTAAAAAGAAAAATATAGCCGTGGTATGGTATTATATTAATATTTCTTACTGTTTCCAGGTTTCTCATCTCAAGTCATTACTCAAGGGAATGAGATAGGTTTTGCATCTGAAGTCCCAGCCACCGTTGAGGCAGTCAAAACACCTAACTCAAAGATTGTCTATGATAACCACAACCATGAGCGTTACCCACCTGGTGACCCTAGCAAACGTGCATTCGCCTACTTCGTCCTCTCTGGTGGGAGATTTGTATACGCCTCTGTTCTCCGCCTTCTTGTTCTCAAGCTCATTGTCAGCATGTCAGCAAGTAAAGACGTCCTTGCCCTTGCTTCCCTCGAGGTTGATTTGGGGAGCATCGAACCAGGAACTACTGTTACAGTTAAGTGGCGTGGAAAGCCTGTCTTCATCAGGAGAAGAACAGAGGATGACATCAAGCTGGCAAACAGTGTTGATCTTGGTTCTTTGAGAGACCCTCAAGAAGATGCGGTTAGGGTCAAGAATCCGGAGTGGTTAGTTGTGGTTGGAGTCTGCACTCATTTGGGATGCATCCCTTTGCCTAATGCTGGTGACTACGGTGGTTGGTTTTGTCCGTGTCATGGTTCGCATTATGATATCTCTGGAAGGATTAGGAAAGGTCCTGCGCCGTATAACCTGGAAGTACCAACGTACAGCTTCTTGGAAGAGAATAAGTTACTCATTGGTTGATGAATGAAAGCACGACAACAGACAGTCTCTGTGTCTGAAATATGTTTTTTTTTTTTAATATATTTTCACACTAAAATTTTAGCTAGCAAGCTTGCTTGCCTCACACTTTGGTCTCAGGAAGTAAAAGATTGTCTTGGTTTTGCTCAATAATAATACAATGAAACTGTTGTAATTTGTATCACTTAATAGCAACTCATCTGGTGATTAACAGTATAACACAGTGTGTTTATTATTTGCAAATACAACACTGTTCATAAGTCTGTTTATTATTTGAAAATAATTTTTTTTTTTGGATTTGAATAGTATCAGCTCCTACTTTGACTCTTAGCCTATTAGATTAACTTTTAATTATATTTACAAATTATATGAAGTGTTAATGGGAGAACAATGGGAAAATGGTCCAAAAAAAATCTAAATTGAAAAATAAATAGTTTTTGAGTATTTTAATAAGAAAGATTTATGTTAATCAAACTATATTTTTTAGTATACATAATTTTATAAGAAAGATTTATGTTAATCACGCTATTTTTTAGTATACATAACTTTAATAAGAATGATTTATGTTCATCTTATCACCTTATATTTTTGAGTATTTGTAAATATTTTTTGGTGTTATCTTAAGTGTTCATATTTTCTATTTACCAATCTGCATAGATAATAAATCATTTTTTTTAATTAGAATACAATTTTTTTATATAAATAGTATTAAATTTTATTTTTTATATGTCATGTTCATTAAAAATTATTTTAGAGTCTATTTTGAAAAACTAACTAAACAAAATATATTTGTTATCCAACAAAAATTAAAATATTAAATTTGACCTTTTCTTGCCTGGGAAACTAGTTTTACGGCTCTTCTTCTTCTGTGTTCTGTCCCAAACCTTTGGAGTCTGTTCTCGCTAGAACCTAACCTTAGATTCGGCCAATTACATTACACACTGAGAGAGATGCTGCGAGTGGCAGGGAGGAGGCTTTTCTCTGTCTCCCAGAGATCATCTACCAATGCTACGACCTCCTTCGTCCTCTCCCGAGACCATTCCCTCTCCCATGGCCACGACTCCAGATCTCTCCCCTCTTCTGATCTCTCTCGTTTCGCTTCTTACCATAGAAGCCTTCTAAGAGGTCTTCCTTAATCTTCAAACCCACCTCTTCTCTCTTCCTCTGGATATTGTTGATTTCAGTTTTCATTTCAGGTGTTGCTTGAATGCTATTAAAAGCTTCGTTTTTTATTTTGTTGGTTGAATGCTATTAAAAGCTTCGTTTTTTATTTTGTTGGTTGAATGATTTGAGCGGGAACAAGTGTTTTATCTTGATTAGGACTTTGTATTAGAGGTTGATATGTACAAAAGGAATGGACTTGTGAGCTAACTGATCAGATATGAAATCAGATTAGTTTGTTTACCTTCTATGATTGCCTCTTTTGTATTGAAAGGAATGGACTTTTGAGTTAACTGATCGGATATGAAATGAGATTGTCCATGAGAAGGTTCCAAAAGTTTAATTCACACTGCTTTATTGGTCTCTAAAGTATTGATCTTTTGTAATCCATTTATTTTCTTCATTGTTAGGGAGATGGATGTTCTACTGACATACCAAGGCATTGCTGAGCAATTTTCATTCTGGAATTTATATATTTTGTTGGTCTTGATTTGTGTGTTTAAGCAGTTTTGTTATATATCTTGATTTGTTTCCTTAGTTTTATTTCGTTTGATTATAGTAGTTGATTTGAGATATTGTGGTGGAATATTGTTTGGACGAATCTGTTATACTCCTGCATTATTCTTATGCCGGTTGGATTCTATTTTTTTTATGCCACGTCTTGATTTTTGTTGTTAGTTCTTTTTGTTGCTTAATTGTTTTTGGTAGGATACTTGACCCCAATAAAGTTTGCTTTGATGTGATTGAATTGTTATATTTTCAGGTTTCTCATCTCAAGTCCTTACGCAAGGTAATGAGGTAGGTTTTGGTTCGGAACCAGCCACCGTCGAGGCTGTTAAGACACCTAACTCGAAGATTGTTTATGACGACCATAACCATGAGCGTTACCCGCCTGGTGACCCTAGCAAGCGTGCATTCGCCTACTTCGTCCTCTCCGGTGGGAGGTTTGTATACGCCTCTGTTCTCCGCCTTCTTGTTCTGAAGCTCATTGTCAGCATGTCAGCAAGTAAAGACGTCCTTGCCCTTGCTTCCCTCGAGGTTGACCTCGGAAGCATCGAACCGGGAACTACTGTTACAGTGAAGTGGCGTGGAAAGCCTGTCTTCATCAGGAGAAGAACAGAAGATGACATCAAACTGGCAAACAGTGTTGATCTTGGATCTCTGAGAGACCCTCAAGAAGACTCAGTCAGGGTCAAGAATCCGGAATGGTTAGTGGTTGTTGGAGTCTGCACTCATTTGGGATGCATCCCTTTGCCGAATGCTGGTGACTACGGAGGTTGGTTTTGCCCCTGTCACGGATCACATTACGACATCTCTGGAAGGATTAGGAAAGGTCCTGCACCATACAATCTGGAGGTACCAACCTACAGCTTTTTGGAAGAGAATAAGTTACTCATTGGTTAATGACGAATGTCTTGGTTTTTGCTGAAAAATAAAAAACTTGTCACATTTATTGAACGTGTACTTGAGCTCTGTTTTTCCATCCTTGGTGAAAGACTCTGTTCATACTCTGTTTTTTTTTGTTGTATACGATTGGTATCTCTTAAGTTTCTAGGCGTCATCATCACAAATTTAAAGTTCTAAATGTTTACAACAAGTAGTTCCGTATCTCAATTCATTTTGTCTTCTAAACGTTTGACCTTTATCTAAACATCATAAGTTCCTACTCAGGTGTCCTTGTTGCGGACACAAAAGTCAAAACTCTGACCCTTGCAAACTAACAACAGCCATTACAAGTTACAAGACCCTAAAGCAACCAACCTCTCATGTGTATCATAAGACAACATTTATTCCACTAAACACCTTTTTTTTTTACTTTTCTTGTTTTTATCATCTGATCAAACCAAGAAGAAAGACTTTTCATTCTTCCCTGACTGAAAATGGCGTCCGTTTCCAATCTCACCAACCTTACACCCGTCTCCGCCACTTCTACCGGCTCTAGATCTTCCTCCGTCATACCAAAATCCTCCGTTAACATCCGCAGTTTTAACGCCAAGCTTTCTTCTGCTTCCCATCTTTCTCTTCGTTACAACCAACAGACCAGACCTTCCCTCTTGTAAGTATATACATATATCAACTTAACTGATGCATGTCTCTTGTCTCTTCTGTACAGTCTGTTTCTTGTTGGTACTAACTTGATCTAAAGTAGAAAGTAGGGTTTAGGATGGTTCAAGAAAAGCAAGAATCTGATTTTTTTGGTGTACTGTTTTTGCTGCTTTGGTGGATTTGCACTTTTGCAGTGTGAGGTGTTCAGCCTCTGGTGGAAATGGAAGTACAGAGAAAAGAACAACTCTTCATGATCTATATGAGAAGGAAGGCCAGAGTCCTTGGTATGACAATCTTTGCCGTCCTGTCACTGATCTTCTCCCCTTCATTGCCCGTGGCGTTCGTGGTGTAACTAGCAACCCTGCGGTAATTTTTGTTTTTTATCGCTTTTGCTTTACTTTTTGGTTGTTTCATTTTGTATTAAACTCCTCACTGTGTTAAAAAACCTTTTGCAGATCTTCCAGAAAGCCATATCCACTTCAGATGCTTATAACGACCAGTTCAGGTAACTCTTTTACTAGAATAATGTGGATGCTTATTTTTTAATGCTTTTTTGGCTGTATTAGAATCAGTTTCTTTTTTTGTTAGGACACTTGTGGAGTCTGGAATAACGGACATTAAAAAGGCCTACTGGGAACTCGTGGTGAAGGATATTCAAGATGCTTGCAAGCTTTTTGAGCCAATCTATGACCAGACTGAAGCTGAGGATGGCTATGTCTCTGTTGAAGTTTCACCTTTGCTTGCTGATGATACTAAAACCACTGTTGAAGCTGCTAAACTTCTTCACAAGGCTGTGAACCGTCGGAATGTCTATATTAAGATCCCTGCTACTTCTCCATGCATTCCTTCCATCAGAGATGTCATTGCATCTGGAATAAGTGTCAATGTCACAGTAAGTTGTTGTCCTAAACTGAGTTATAATCCTGAAACTAGAAAAGTTCTGTTCTTATATGGTCTTATATTCTGTTATGTTTCAGCTTATATTCTCATTAGCTAGATATGAGGCAGTGATTGATGCATACTTGGATGGACTAGAGGCGTCTGGACTTGATGACCTCTCAAGAGTTACAAGTGTTGCTTCCTTCTTTGTCAGTAGGGTGGATACTCTCATGGACAAGATGCTTGAGAAGATTGGTACACCAGAAGCTCTAGACCTCCGTGGCAAGGTAAAAGCTCGGTTCATTGCTGCAAAAGAGTATGAGTTTATGACACCTGATATGTTGTTCTTGCAGGCGGCTGTGGCTCAAGCTGCATTAGCATACAAGCTATACCAGAAGAAATTCTCAGGTCCAAGATGGGAAGCTTTGGTGAAGAAAGGTGCCAAGAAGCAGAGGCTTCTCTGGGCATCAACAAGTGTTAAGAACCCAGCTTACTCTGACACCCTTTATGTTGCTCCTCTCATTGGACCTGACACTGTAAGTCATCTTTTTGTTTGCCGTCTCATGTTTCACTGCCCACTTGTAAACAAGTGTTTGTGTTTTTGTTTTGTTTGGGTTTAGGTGTCAACTATGCCTGATCAAGCCTTGGAAGCATTCATTGATCATGGAACGGTGAAGAGGACGATAGATGCTAATGTGTCAGAAGCAGAAGAGGTTTACAGTGCACTAGAGAAGCTGGGAATAGACTGGAACAAAGTGGGAGAACAGTTGGAAGAAGAAGGTGTAGACTCGTTCAAGAAGAGTTTCGAGAGTCTGCTTGGTACACTTCAAGACAAGGCCAACACTCTCAAATTAGCCAGCCATTGAAGATGGTTTGTGCAATTTAGTTCTTCAAACACTATGCTTCATGTTCACAATATAAACTCTTATTTTCTTATTGCATTCGATTACATATTCGTTACAAGGTTCTGTTTTCTCTTTATTTAGTATTACCTCTTCTCTCATGTCCCACGCATGTTGTAATTTTATCGACTAGAATGCAACTCATGCAGCTCCCAAGACGGAGTCTTCCTACTAACAAACTTGGAAACAACACTCGCCTCCAACATCTTCAACGCATCTTCACTCATCACTGATCTCGGCGTCTTGTACTGACTCAGAGAAGAGCCTCGAGACACAAAGAAACTCATCAGCTCATCAAACGCACCACTCCTAACAACCTTAATCTCAAGCGGTCCAATGTTTTTATCATTCTTTCTTCCTTTTCTATAAATAGAGTCAAGAGACTCCTCAACCGTGAAGCAGCACTCCTCCATAACATCAGTGTCAAGCTCGAGCTTCGCGTCCTTGACTTTGCTCCTGAGTTCCCAGTAGAGCACGTAGTGTCCTGGAAACGAGGAGGAGTCTACACGGCTAGTGAAGTCAATGAGCATTAAGTCATGTGGCTCGAGGAGGAGCTTCGCGTTTGTCACTGCCTTGAGGAGATCTTCTTCATAGGTCTTGTCCATGTCTATGCTCAGTACAACTTTTTTTCTTCCCACGACTTGAAACTCTGGTGCGTTGTTGTAGAAGCCAGTCACTCGTAAAACATCACCCAAACGGTATCTATACAGACCTGTAAATCATATAACATAAAGTCTATTGACCTGACGTCTAATAACATGTGCAAATGGACCGATCAGATAGAACCAAATCTAAAAATGAAACTAATAGGTAAATAGACCGATCAAAAAATATCAGAATCTAAAAATGAAAAAAAAAGAATTCTTTAAAAATATATACATAAATTATGGCCTTTGTCTTTAAATTTTATATATATACTGTTAAATATAGTGCTTATGATTTTTTTTCAAAATTATCAAACATATAGAGATAAAATTATTAACTTTTAAAACTATCTCATCAACTAGTTAACTATAATACGACAAAATCTAAACATATTTCATTACTGACCCACGAGTCTAATAGCATGTACAAGTAGACCGATCAAATATAATCCAAATCTAAAATGAAAAAAAAATCTTTAAAATATATACAAAATTTTTAGATATAGACTGTTAAGTATAGTGCTTATAATTTTTTTTCAAAAAAACTTGAGACGGCACTTTTATTAAACACCCATTAAACAAAACAGTTGAAAATAGACTTACCTGAAAACGTTGTAATAACAGGTTCATAGTCATGTCCAACTTTAACATCTACAAGATCAATGACGTTCTTTATGGTATCATGACTAGTTTCTTGATGGTCTTTCTCAACCTCCAAGAACTCAAAGTATGCCATACTTGGAATAATGGTGTAGGCCACATCACTAGGCTTGCGTAGAGGATTTAAATTGAGACCTAAGAAACACTCAGAGCTGGCGTAAAATGATGAAACTAAAGGAAGACCACCGCAATAGAAGTTCATCATTGGTATATACTGTGCCATAGAGCCAGTAACAACTGCTTCAATACATTTTGCATTTGGCCATAGTCTCCTCACTATTACCTCCCACGATGGTTTACCACATTCTTGCTCGATTAGGCTAGCTAGTTCTGGATTTGGAGCGGTGAGAAACTTATTAACCCCTGAAATGCATTGAGGGTCTTTGATCCAGTCGCTGACACGACCTGTCTTTATGTTAGAGCATAACTCATTCCAGTTATCTTCCAAGAACTTGATTACTTTGAGGAAGGAAGAAGCGAATGGTGCACCGAGACGAGATACATTTTCTCGTTGTAGAAGTCCACAAAGCAATTGGCAGTACATGCTTTGGGTAGTGTCTTCACAGGTATGAATGCTATGTGGGCTTATCTGTACTTGATCCCTGTAGATCATGTAAGAAACACAATAAATAAACACTAGCAGCACCAAGAGGCATGTTCACTCATGAGTGAAACTTAAATAATAAAACAATAGCAGAAAGAGTGAATGTAATCAATGTTCCAAAGATCGTTAGGTGCCTAATAGAGAATTAGAGTATCTCAAATGAGAGTTCTATCCATTGGAGTTCTAAACTTGTATATGTGTATTGTATATGTTTATGTAATGTAGGATCTATTATTTTATAGAGAACCAGGTTCTTAAAACTTTTTTTAAGAATCTTTAGGGTGAGGTTCTCCACAAAATAACGAAGCCCACAACTATATACACATATACAAGTTTAGAATTCCAATAGATAAAATCTCCATTGGGGACGTTTCTAGAAAAAAAAATTGTTTATAACCGATTTACCGCCTAGACAGATACCTAAGCGGGTCTTGATCGATTTTTAGAACATTGAATGTCATATAGGAGCAAAGGTTTACCAGATATCTTTGTTGCCCGAGCCCACCATTTTTATGAAACAAGTGATCATAGTCCTGACCAATAATCCACAGGCTGTCTGGCCTTCTTTGGTCACAAAGAAAAAGCTGAGAGATTTTCCTTTACTAATCCCTTCTATTTGCCTGCATTTTGCAAACAGTACCAAGAACAGGTTTGAGTTTCATAACAACAAACATATAAAGACACAACTTGGAGTTTGTGGAACTCATTACTGGGAGTATAGAGGTCTTTGTAGAGATGAAAACAATATCCTCTGTTCAAGTTCCTCTGCTGTCATAGGTATCAACTTTGGAACTCCTCCTGAAGTACCTGAGCTGCAAGCAAACACACAATTTCTTCCTTCAACCTCAATCTTTTCTCATAATCTGCAGAG